CCCCCCATCAATCTTTGTGTCCCTCTCTAATCAGTGTTGTACATTGGGATGGTCTGGGCTGGGGACGGGTGGAAGTGTTGTACACAGATATTTTTGTATTTACCTAAATTATAACTATGAAATTTTATAATTTTATAGTCTGCTTTTTCCCCCCTACTTATCTCAACATTTCCATTATCCTAAATTCTTCCTAAATTTCCTAAATATCTTTCTAAGTGGCTACACAACTCTCCACTGGGTGACTGTCTCAGAGTTTCCTCCTCCGTCTGCCAAACAGGTGGATATTTAGTCTGTGTCCAATTTTGGATTAAGCAGCCTGAGGAGAAAGGGAGAGTCAGATAATTTTATATTCCTATCATTTCTTAACAGAAAGCAAGCCAGATAAAGTCAGATAAAAGTTTGCAGGAACAGTAATGCGGTAGAGATACCAGCTAAAATATGATTAAGCAGCCTGAGGAGAAAGGGAGAGTCAGATAATTTTATATTCCTATCATTTCTTAACAGAAAGCAAGTCAGATAAAGTCAGATAAAAGTTTGCAGGAACAGTAATGCGGTAGAGATACCAGCTAAAATATCATAGTGCAAAGAGCACAACAGGATACATGCCCTTAGATGAGCTCATTGCCATTAGGGGTGGGCAGGGTAGTGCCACCCTACTGCAAGCTTCCCATGGTGCTCACCCTGGGCAGGCCCGGACCCAGAGTAAGGCAGTAAGGCGTAAGAGTGTAAGCCACAGCCCAGGAGTAAGCAGGGAGTTTCCTTGCCTGCTGTTTCGTATTGCCACAGTCATAGCCTCTTCCTTCACAATAAATTTTCTGAAAACTCTATACAGTCCCTGACTGATGATGGCCTGACTTACAGTTTTTCAACTTTATGATGGTGCAAAAGTAACATGCGTTCAGTGGAAACTATACCTCAAGTGCCCACGCTCATTCTTGTTTCACTCTCTGTATAATATTCAATAAATTACATGAGATATTCAACACTTTATTAGGTGATTTTGCCCTGCTGTAGGCTAATGTAAGTGTTCTGAGCATGTTTAAGGTAGGCTAGGCTCAGCTATGATGTTCAGTAGGTAGGTGTACTAAATGCATTTTTGACTTAATGATATTTTCAACTTAAATGGGTTTATCAGGCAGTAGCCCCATCATAAGTCAGGGGACAAGAACTGCAGGAGACAGACAGCACTGGGTAGCCCTAACCTTGGGTGGTACCTTGCAATGAAGTGAGACAAAACTCAAATTCCATTGTAAAAAATAACATTTAAACTGCAGGTGTGGCAATCGATGGAAATAATCATGAAGTCAAAGAAAGGCATATCCAGCTCGTCAAGAAAAGGGGAAAAGTCAAGGCTCTTGATGAAGAACTTTACAGTGAGTGGAAAATGCTCTGAGTTAGAGTGATAAATACAGCCTGGGCACCTTTAAAGTATTTTATCCCAACAGCATTTGAGATGAAAAATATTCATTTATCCAAGGTTGGATAAATAGAAGGAGGGTTAAGCCCATGTTGTAAAAGAGTTTCACAGAATGTGGGCTGGTTTATTTTAGGTGGTGGTGCATGGAGAATTTTTTAATTTTAATAGTTATTACTTATTTTAATTTTCCTGGCAAATGGCACTGCTTTTCTATTTTAGTAGTGAAATATCATTTTCTTTTTAAAGTAAGTTTATTTCAGTTGAGAAGTGAGTTAAGTTACTGTAAACTTCAGCATGGGTGGTGCTTGGGTCTGGCAGACATCCCAGGGTTGGGATGTGCTGTTGGAATAGGTGTTATGTCTTGGTGTAATGATACCACTTCGCCTTAACTGTCCTATGTTAATGCTTATTTTTAAAGTGTGGCAAACTGATTTTTCTTTCATTTAGAACAAGACAGCATGGACTTAAAGGTGGAGTTTGAGACGCATTTTGGCATTGCCCACACACGCTGGGCCACCCATGGGGTCCCCAATGCTGTCAACAGCCACCCACAGCGCTCGGACAAAGGCAACGGTATGTAGTGTGGCCTTGCTCCCCTGTCCCTGATGGCTCTGCCTCACCCTGAACTATGTGTCAGGGTTGATCTTAGCCAGAGCATGTTCCACACCCACGCCTGGCGGAATTCTCAGCCTGCCCTGTCTTTCTGAGAGAACCCAAACATCCCCTCTCCCAAAGCCCTGACTGGTGGCCCTGGGCCTCAGTCAGGAGACAAACTCAGCCTGGCCCCTGGGCTGTGCTGACCCCCATGCATCCACAGGAAAATGATGGCACTTTACCAATGAGTGCTGCTGGCTCCTCCAAACACAGCCTTTGAGTGGGATACAGCAGAGAGAGGGACTGAAGGGCCTGGGCACTGTTCCTCCCCAAGAGACTGAAGTGTTCCAGAAGCCCGAGCCCTCAAGGGCAGGATGGGGTTCCTTCCTCATCCAGCTAAACCCACCTCCCTTTCCTGCAGGGAGTGACCCAGAGAGGGAGTAGGTGGCAGCACTGATCTTGGTTCATTCTGAGGAGGCTGTAGGGAGGCCGCAGCAGCCAAGGGGTTAAGATTTGGAGAAACAGAGGTTGCAACTGGCAGCCCAGGAGCTCTTCCCAGAAGAGCCCTCAACTCAGCTCACTTCATGTTTTTGAAAATTAAGAATTATTGTTCATAGAAGTCCAGACTTCTGGCATCCCTTGAAAAACTGGAAGACAGGGAAATACTGGGCTCACATTACCCCAGGTACCACTGATCATCAGTGGACCAAGGTCACAGAGTGGGCACGGTAATGGCTATGGCAGTCTTTGGTGGGTTGGGGGTTCTCCAGTTCTCCCAACTGCTCCCTCATGCCAGCCCCAGCTCATAGCCCATGCCCCTCTCCTGGGCACCCAGGAGAGTTCTTCATGCCATGGTTCTCATACATGACACCCCCAGCCCCCTCTCATGGGGGAAAGACTGGTAGGTCTGGAGCTCCCAGTGGCAGCTCTCAGGGGCTCTGTGGTCAGCTCCCAGGGTGCTGGAACCTCCTGCAGTAGGACACAGTAAGCATAAAAGATGGAGAGAGGATTTAATCCCTAACTCCTCCCAGGCCTCCAAGGCCAAGCACGAGTCTTTGACATAATCCAGGCTTTTCAGTGGGTCCCCACTCTGGGTCAGGCCCAGTCAGGTCAGAAGCCCCTGCTCATCCACACCTGGACATGACTTAGAGACGGTGTCAAGCGAAGAGAATGATTTCTGGAGTCGACAGGGCCCCACACCCTGAGACATCCCCTGGCAAATGATACTACTTTTCTATTTAAGTAGTGAGGTCAGGTCAGAAGCCCCTGCTCATCCACACCTGGACATGACTTGGAAGACGGTGTCGAGCGAAGAGAATGATTTCTGGAGTCGGCAGGGCCCCACACCCTGAGACATCCCCTGGCAAATGATACTACTTTTCTATTTAAGTAGTG